ACGCCCCCTAGTGTTCGGGCAAGTGGATATTCTTTTCAGTACGTAGGCCTACAACCAACCCTATGTTTCGAGATATATCGAAGTGTACTCGTACAAAACGTGACCATGGCCGAGTTCCACAGTCATAGTTGCGACTGGAATTTATGTAAATAACATAAGCTGACTTGTGTTTAGTTGCTTCACGTTTGATGTGAAAAGAAATGGCATAGAATATGCCAGAATTAACAGACTGACGTCATTGGCATTCCTGAAGTAATAGATGTTTCTTTTATGGTCTAAAAATGAGTACACCTACTCAGTTTTGGCAAAATTAGCTCAAGTTCCGATTTGCTAGAGTTTGACGGACCTCATGGCAGGTTCCTTTCAGGAACGAATTAGAACATTCTGAGATACATTTCAGTCACATAAAAAGCGCTATTTATATCCTTCGGTTACTCATGATTCTCTTACCCAAATGTGCAAGTTACTCGTATAACACTTACTTACTTACTAAGGCCGCGCCATAGCTCAAGCGGTTAGTCGTTGGCTTCCCACCGCGGCGGCCCGAGTTCGGTCCCGGGTCTGGTCAAGTGGGATTTTTGGTGGACAAAGTGGCACTGGAGTAGGTTTTCTCCAAGTACTTCGGTTTCCCCTGCCAATCTTCATTCCACCAATTGCTCCACAATCACCCTCACCTATCATCTGGGGCTGGTACAATAGACCAGAAGTGGCCGCAGTAAAAGGGACTTAGTCCCACACCAATAGCAATAAAAAATACTTACTTACTCATGCAGCTGAGCCCTTCTTGAGGAGCCGCCAATTCTGCAGCTACTCAAGAATTTCCTAGCATTTTATGAAACCCGAAGGTTCAGTACCGTGTTCACAAGAGCCCTCCATTGGTCCCTATCCTGAGCCAGATCAATCCAAACCATGCCATTCTGTCTCTCTAAGATCCATTTTAATATTGTGAACCCATCTACGCCTTGCTCTTCCCAGTTCTCTTTCCTTCTGGCTTTCCCACCAGTATCCTATATGCATTCCTCTTCTCTCCCATTCGTGCTACATTCCCTGCCCACCTCATCCTCCTTGACTTGATCATTCTAATTATACTTGGAGAAGCGTAAAAGTAATGACTCGGACCTGGACGGATCCTCTGGATAAAGGACCTAGGCTAAAGAAAATGGACTCGTGTAACGCATTTGCCTAAATTTGGGCTGGATTTCGAAAGGAAGCAGTGAATATGGCTTATGCGTATATTTTGTATTTCCTAGCAACTTTAATATATAGGCTCGTGCTCTTGAAACTCAGTATGAAGGTCATGCCATTTGAAGGCGGCTTCTCGTCACGTCTCTGTTCAATCCAGGGCAGCTGATACGAGATTTGTGGTGGACAGAGTGGCACTGGGGGTTGGTTTCTCTCCGAGTACTTTGTTTTGTCCTGACAGTTATCATTCATACATTTCTTCATTCTCTCTATCGTCCGAGGTTTGCAAGTGGTCTCTTTTGCAGCTTAAGTGCCAAGGTATTCTATCTATCTGTCTATCTATCTATCTGTCTATCTGTCTATCTATCTATCTATCTATCTATCTATCTATCTATCTATCTGTCTGTCTGTCTGTCTGTCTATCTGTCTGTCTTTCTGTCTGTCTATCTATCTGTCTGTCTGTCTGTCTGTCGATCTATCTATCTACCTACCTGACTCCCTGCCTCCCTCCCTACTTACAGTCGTTTGTTGGACCTTGACCGCTTTTTCAGATGCTTGATCTTTTACACAGTCGGTAGGACTCCTTGGACTGGAGATCAGTCCGTCGCAAGGCTGCTGCCTACACACAGAACAACACAAACACAGAAAAAGCGTACAGAGACATTCATGCTTTGAGTGGGATTCGAACCCACGATTCCAGTGTTTTAGCCGGCGAAGACAGGTCATGCCTTAGATCGTGCGGCCATTGTGATCGACACAGATTATCTGTCGTAATAAAAATAAAAGTAATATTTTTCAGGATGTACGTAAGAGCGTACATAGCCTAATTTAACGTCAATTTACTGTTCTAGAACAAGCTCAAAGTTCATCCAGATTATGAAACTAAGTTTAATCTCTCGTATTTTAGTTTCCTTGTATACAACTAAAGCAGCCTACGAGTTATCATTGATTAGCAAAATTAACCATCTTTTCTTGTCAGCTGCTTAGAGATCAGTCGCAGTCCATCCTAGGTGGGTCATCATGTCTGCGCATTTTATAAAGAGCGTTACGTAGTATCTAAACTACGTCCTCACCGTTTCATCTTCCACTCTCTTGCCACGTAATGGCAGGATATACGTGGCTGGCAATGAAATTTGGATTAGATTTACATGAAATTTTAGATTGTCAGGTTTGCTTTTGAACTTATTCGTTTTCAATTTTATACAGCTGCAAATACTCAGATTTTAGGCCCGTTAATCGATTAAACCTTAAATAAATAAGTCGCAACACTAGTTCAGCTGTTTCATCCACTAATAAGCTAGAGAAAACGCAGAGACAACCACATTTATGCCTGCAGTTTCACGTTCTACATAACCCACTAATTCAGTGCACGGAGCAGTCCTCCTTGAGAATCTCATAATCCGTCACGTGCTCAATAAATCTTTCGTCTTGTACAGAACCCCAAGATTTATTGGCGTTTTCACGAGAAGAAGCCGCCACTGGACTCTATCATGAGACAGCAAATGTTCCACTCAAGTTGTTAGAACGCTTGTTTCGTATTATAGAGGTCCCAGGTTCAAGTCCCTCCAGGAAATTTCTAGAACTGTATTTCAGATTAGACCCCGAATCCTTCCACACAGGTCCTTTCCAATTCACTATCAATAGACCATCTTATCTTTCGACGCTGTTATTAATAAGTGTTTCAAAAGCGTCTTTAAATAACCTATAAATAAAAAATATGTAATTTTATGAGGTGGAGTGAGACTGAGTCCGCTTGGTACTGCGGCCATTGTTTGGCCAATTATACCAGCCTCGGATGATAGACGAATGTGGACCAGTTGATGGAATACGAATTGGCAGGGGAAACAGAAGTACTATGAGAATACCTGCCCCAGTGCCATATTCTCCACCACAAATGCCATATACCGTATTTACGCATGTATAGGCCGCACATTTTTTGCCAAAAATTCAAGAGGAAAACTGGGGTGCGGCTTATATTAGAAATATTCCAAATCACACTTCATTTAAAAAAATATATATTCATAATTAGTAATACAGGGTGTTCTACTCCTGAAATAATATTCCAAGAAAATTATTTTTTCTATAATTTCTGTCTGAAAATTGTGCTGCGGCCTATACACGCACGCGGCCTATACATGCGTAAATACGGTAACTTAATATGTGGTCGATCACGGGCCGCCGCGATGGGAAGCTAACGAGTAACCGCCTCAGCTGTGGCGCAGCCGCAAATAAATATCTAAACAGAACATATACTCGTATCCTGGACCTGTTTATTCTAGCCTACACGCTCATATATTATTTTTATAAACATTAATCTTCCAACTGTTCTCTTTCCGTTAGATTTCCTAACTAAAATTTTGTATGAATTTCTCGTCTCTTCTACGTATGCTGCATGTCTAACCCACTATATTATCCTCGACTTCTTATCCACCATATCCTCCATCCACAACGTAAGGATTCTCGACGTCTCGCTCAAATTAATGTACGTTGTTATGATCCATTAAGATGTATCGTTACTTGTTTATGATATGTAATTATGTGCAAGCAATAAGAGCGGCTGAAAGCTTGTAGCGAATTATAGCAACGACGTGGCCAAGTGAGATGCAGGCTGAGGACGGAAATACTGAATTGATTTATATGTCATTGCTGTTTCGCACCTCGTGACGCTGCAAACTTACATCACAAGAGAATAATGTTATGCCATATATTTATGACGTGATGACTCGTCAATATATGCAGGCAACAGAACAAGTTAGTTTATGAATCATATAAACGCTGCCGGTGCTGTTTGATTCACTGAGTGTACGTATTTATTTCTAGTTTATTTAACAAATATCTCAGTATCTCAGCGTAGTGTTCAGATGATAGTAAATAATGAGAAATAAGAAGATAAAGCTATCCCCATAACAGGCTGTGGAGGCCTATAGGGTTGTGAGACGTCGAGGCTCGCACATATTCTAGACAATCGGCTCACAGATGGCTGTGAGATTGTCAGCCTTACGCGCCGGCCGCCCTTTACTCCCCAGGAATATTCCTGGTACTCGCTTCTGTTAGAGGCTGAGTCGACCCCAGGGCAGTAGTGTAACTGGAAGGATTAGGTAAATTTAAAAGATCAAATCACCTCATCGGGATTCGAACCCGCGACCTTCCGGCTTGTAGTATAGTGCCTCAACCAACTACGCTACCACGTGATGATGACAGTGAAGGATAACGAAAGAATCGATCATTGTTCTGCTTAAGGCAATATACCGGAATTTTCCTGGAGGGACTGAGAAAAATCGCGAAAATCTGAGTCGGAATAGTCCGTGCCCAGACTGAGATTCGAACCCGGCATCTGTCGATTACAACTTAGAAGCATTGCGGTCTGAACCAACTTTCTCGCTTCCACCAAGTATAGCGCCTGGGCACGCGATAGCATAGTTAGTTGAGGCACTATGCTACAAGCCGGAAGGTCGCGGGTTCGAGTCCCGATGAGGTGATTTTTTTTTAAATATACCTAATCCTTCCAGCCACACTATGGCCCTGGGGCCGACTCAGCCTCTAACAGAAACGAGTACCAAGAAAAGGTACAGAGCGGCCGGCGCGTATGACTGACAACCTTACCGCCATCTGTGAGCCGCCTGTCTAGAGAACATGTGAGAGCCTCGACGTCTCACAACCCTATGGATATCTCACAACCTGCTACAGGGGTAGCTTTACCTTTTTCACGTTTTACCAAATATAGCGCATGCTCCATGGCAGGTATCACGCTTGCAGAGAGTATACGTGTAGTAGCGTACATATATCCCTTTACTGAATTGTGTCGTATTTCCTTACAGGACCAAGAGACACAGAATTTCGACATCTCAGTCAGTTTTTTCACCAATTGAAGGAAAAGCAAGTAAGTCCATGTCTGAAGAGACAGTGAAATAAACCAGTGTTAATAACATATCCATGAATGCCAGTGTGTGAATGTTTCCTGCAGGATAAGCCAGCAGAAGCGTTTAAATATCGCGGCACATGCTTACACGCGGAGACTAAAACTGCACAAGTTCTAAACATATCACGGTCTGTCTTTGCCAGGATAAACCTGCACAAGCACTTAAAAATGTCACAATCTTTTCCTACAGGATGAATTTGCACAAGGGCAAAAATAAAAACATGATCTACATTTGCAGGATCAGTCTGCGCCAGTGATAAAATGTATGACAGTATATATGTGCAGGTTAAAGCTACATAAATGCTAAAAATACCACGACCCATGTCTGCAGGATAAGTTGTACACGTGCTAAGAGTACCTCTATGTTTGCAAGATAAAACTGCGCGGGCACCAACAGTATTACTGTCCATGTTTCCAGGGTGAAACTGCACAAATGCTGAAAGCATCACGATATACAGGCATGTTTGCAGAATAATTCGCGACAGCGCTAAAATAGCATATGCTACGTTTGCCAGGATGAATCCTCACAAGCGCGAAACATATTCCGAGTCCTGTTTGCCACGGTAAACCTGCAGAAGTCTTCTGTTTACAGTTTCACGCACACGCAGAGGATCACTTCCGTGACAATAAACCAGCGCAAACTCTAAAGCATCAGATCTTGCATCTGAACCGGAGACTAACCCCGCGGAAGTCGGCCGCGCCATGGCTCAAGCGGTTAGTTCGCCGGCTTCCCTCAACGACGGCTCGTGTTCGAGCCCAGGCCAGGTAATGTTGGATTTGTGGTGAACAAAGTGGCACTGGGGCGGGTTCTCTCCGAGTACCTCGAGTTCCCTGCCGATTCTCATTCGACCGACTCCCCCACGCTCATTATCTATCATCCGGGGCTGGTGCAATAGGCCAATAGTGGTCGTCGTACCAAGTGGACTCAGTCTCACCCCACCCCAAGAAACGAAGGAAAAAACCTAAACGCCCAGGATGCATTAAGGAAATCAATGATACGTTTACCTTCACATGCGCCGACGTCACGACCAACCTGCATAGGTACAATTGTCCCTGTGCTTAACTAATTAAGCACTACGCCATGAAGGCGTATGTGGGAATGGATGTATAGATCCACGTTTTCTTGACCTCGGCATTTGTTGGTGGTAAATGGTCAGCTTCAGCCCCGGCCGCTTTACCACCGGGGAAAGAGACCCCTATACCAATTGGACGGGAGGCTGGGTGGACCCCAGAACCGGTTTGCATGACATGGAGAAGAGGAAATTCTTGCTCTTACCGGGACTCGAACTCTGATTCCTCGGTCGTCCAGCCGGTAGCCAGTCGCTATACCGACTGAGCGCTCCCGGCTCCATAGGTATATATGTACTGTTGAATTCTCACTTCCCTTTTGTAGAGGTTTAAAGCTTGAATCTCGAAGTGTTCATGTTCGTAATTCCGAAAGTTAAGTAACATGTCTGATAGTTGTCGGTAAAGAGAAAAATTTTCAGGTAGCAGGGCGGTCGGTAATGTCTGTCAAGGAGCATCGCTGTGCTATTTCGTATCTGTATAATAATTGAACACCGTTTCTGTGGTCTAGTGGTCAGAGTTACTGGTTACAGATCAGAGGTCCGGGTTCGATTCCCGGCATCATCATATTGTCTGAAAAGTAGTGCGTCTAGAACAGGGTCCAATCAACCTCGTTCGTAAGGATAATTGAGGAGCTATTTAAAGGAAATAGGGGCTCCGGATTAGAAAACCGAAATTAACGTTCATGGGGATTCGTTGCGCTGACCATGCGACATCCTCTATCCGCTAAAGTTGGCACTAAGTTCGCCGACAAGTGCCGGTCGCTCGGTCGGTGTAGTTCGCTTGCGGGCTAAAACCACGAAATTTGTTAGTTTTGTATAACAATGAAACATTTCAAATGCACCAAAGCCCCATACGACGAATAACAGCAATATTATTCGACTCATATGTGACAGACGATGAGACAATTCCGTTAAATTTTAAGCGCAGATATTGTAACGGCCATAATACCAACATTCCCATTAAGAGACTCAGTTAAATTGCCGGAAGCTATTTATGCCGCTACTATTCATTATGAATGTTGTCTTGTGAGTTATATCGCCGTGTAATTCCGTAGATGGTAACAAATTTTTCGACAGAACATGCTTCCTCCATTTTGGGGGGGCATAGAAATGTGCCAATTAGAAGTGTGGATAGGTTATACAGTAATGGAGGCGGGGAACATGTCAGCTCGTAATAGGAGCAACTCTCAAAACTGCGCATCAAACGGTAGCTTTCAAGAAGGCCCAAATGAAGGTCATTTTCAAAGAACCCTACAGAGGAACCCTTTCCGAGGAAGACTATTATAATGATGAAAGGCAGAGGAAGGGCAGAAGAAGTGCTCCCCCTGCTCTAGTTTTCCTTCAGAATGTGAAATAGAAGCTTCCGTGACCTCGGGGGGGGGGGGGAGAAACATTTTTTTCCTAAACCTGTGGGGACCTGGTGGTTGCGTGTAGAACTTCTGGCCACGGTACTGATGCCCTGTAGCATGATGCAAAGGCCCCTGTTTATGCTACTTCCTGTCATGACTGACTTCTCCGAATGATACAGACGAATATGCTGTGCCCCTTGACTCTCATCTTAGTATGATACCTGATTTGTCCTCTGTGTACCGCCCTTCACTCACGGAGGTTGCTGTAAACGCTCAGAAATTTTACGGCTAGGCCTTACTTAAGGGCCAAAGAAAACTGAGACTTTCCTTGGCAGGAGGCATGCAGAATTTTGATGTTGTGTTAGATTGCGCCCTGCTGAAATGATCGCGATAAAGGATAAAAATACCACTAAAGTACAATACACAGGTGTTCCAGAAGGAAGGATCAATATTCTGGGAGGTCATAGTATCGGCCATTGTAAGCAAAAAATGTGTATATACATGTGTCATATTTCGAACGGTTTCCAAGATAGCACTGTACACTGTACAGACGAGCAACACGCCATGTCCTCACACGAGTTACAAAGTGCATTGATGTTGGCGGTGGCATTTTCGAACATACTGACCGATACTGTGACCTCCCAGAATATTGACCATTCCTCCTACTTAATGCATAATGTGTAATCTACCGAACACAGTAACCGCGCGGTCTAAGGCACGAAATGTCTTCGCCCATTGAAACATTGGGATCGTCGGTTCAAATTCAAATCGAGGCATGGATGTCTGTGTGCGTTTATTCTATATTTATGTTGACCTTATGTAGCGGCCTTGCAGCGTACTGATGACCTGTCCAAGGAGTCCAGCCGACTTTAAGTTTCAAATTTCAGAATTAGTTAATTCTGAATGAGCACAGACTAGGAACCTATTCCGTCAAGAAGAAGAATGTACTCAACTGGACATTTTGGTGTATGTCGGTGAGGTGGCCGAGGTGGTGCCAAATCATGAACGTTTCCTCATCACAACGGGACCAGAGAGGTGCTTCTGAGTGCTCCATCTTCAAAGTGCCATGAAGACATTGTCAGTCACACGTGGTGGCCATCCATACAAGTACATTACATCTTATTAATAAATTATTTATTGTAATTAGTGATTTTGACGTTTAGTCCCAGATAATCATTTATTGGAACTAACAATTTCGTCTCCTATATGGCAGGGTATGTAGCACGAATTGGGGAGAAGACGAAAGGATATAGGATATTGGTGGGAAAGCCAGGAGCAAAGAGGCCATTAGGGAGATGAAGACGTAGATGGGCGGACAATGTTAAAATGGATCTTAGAGAGATAGAATAAAGTGGTATGGATTGGATCGATCTGGCTCAGGATAGGGATCAGTGGAGGGCTTTTGTGAACACGGTAATGAACCTTCGGGATCCATAAAATGCTGGGAAGTTCTTGGGTAGCTGCACAACTGGCGGCTTCTGAAGGAGGGCTCAGCTCCATGGTTCAGTTAACAATTTCATCTCTACATTTTTCAAGCAGAGACTCGCGGAACGGATTGGCCCGAAGCAGTAACTCTTCCTACTTGTATTCGGGAGTGAATGTTTGAATCTCGGCCAGAACACCGACTAACCTGATTGAGGTTACTTGTGATTTTTCCGCGGTCCCTCCAGTCAATTTTCGGGGTGAAACTTCGCATTAGGTCATGACCGCTTCCTTCCGCATTCCTTCCAGTTCATTATTCACTGATCATCGCATCACTCGACGCTGCTTTTTCTGATCTGTTGGCAGTGTCGATAGTAAACCATAAATAAATAAATAAATAAACACATAAGTAAATTCGGGCACTGACATACACGCAGACCAGATATATTTTGGAAATGTCAAGGTTTTGCTATTTTTCTTGTTCCTCTACTTCTGTTTCATTCTATCTAAAAAATAACTCTGTGACTTTAGTCTGCAAGCGAACTATACCGATCGAGCGATCGCCACTTGTCGGCAAAGTTAGTGCCAACTTTAGCGGGCAGAGGGTGTCGCGTAGTGAGAGCAACGAATACCCACGACTATTAATTTCGGCTTTCTATACCGGAGCCGCTATTTTCTTGCAATAGCTCCTCAGTTATCCTCACGAGGCTGAGTGGACCCGTTCCAGACCCACTACTTCTCAGAAAATCTGGTAGTCCCAGGAATCGAACCCGGACCTCTGAATCTGTAACCATGAACTCTGGCTAGTAGACCACAGAGGTGTTCTTTAATTCTACCTCACAACTTATATTCTTTGAAAAGCACAATAAATTATTCGTCCAAACAAACATCTAATAGCATGAGAGCATTGAGCGCTGACATGAAGAGAAAATAAGAACAAATAAGGATATGTGGGTTTGGCCCAGAGGACACGCTAAATTGGCATGAGTATATTCGGGGTTGGTCCTCAAAGCTTTAAATTGGTCAGATGCTTCGCGTATGTCATGAATTTGTCAGTTACAGAAATAGAATGTAATAGCCTCGTACCAAAACACACAAAAAAATCATTATTGCGAACTCCTCT